TGTGCCCTGAGACTCGGAAATCAAGGGGAGTGACGTGATAAAAGGCTAGCCACTTGAGATTTGACATAGATTTTAGATACATGTACACCACGCTCCTGTAAGTTAGATTTTAATTGGAAATTTTATGGTCCCAAACCGATTTTGTTCAGTAAGTTCCGAGCCTTGTGCATTTGTGGGACCCGTCTCACGAGTGCACGGCGTCTGTCGCGCCTCAGATTTGGGTTCTGGGGCGTGACAGATAAAGTGGTATCAGAGCTTAGGTTAAATTAGATATCTGGAGATTGAGTGGTATAAGAGTTTAAGTATAAATTAAGAGTTTTGGATTAAATTAAGCACCTCCAGATTAAGTGGCATTAGAGCAGATTGAGTGATATCCGAGCTTAGGTTTAATTGAATACCTAGGATTTGTTTTGGACTTGGCTAGCCAGTGGATTTTAGACCCGTGGTGAAACGAGTGATGGGGTTATATAAGGGACGATTCTGATTCATGTTGCTTGAATTTTCTCATCCATTTCGATGAGATGGTGATCTGATTGTTCTTGTTTCTTGCCTTCATACTCTGTGTGAAGTTGTGAAAGTAATCTTGCCCGTTATGTCCTGAAGACCTTGTTTTGAACTTGGTCATTTTCTGATAGTCTGCACTTGTTTAGACTTGTTACGTGAATAGAATTTTTGTATGCTCTTTTGCCACTATTGTGAAATCTGGGGAGTTGCAGAGACTTTTGTTATTGATCCTGTTAGTCTTTACAGCATAGCTGGTGGAGAATTTGCTCTGTTTGTCACATGACCAGTGGAGGATGGGCAAACCTTTTACTTTGTAAGAGATTCAAGGCTATTTTAGCAAGTGTTGTGTGTTTTCTAGATGCGTTTTAGGAGTTGGATAATTTGGTAATTCCGTGCTCCTTACCTTCTGAAAGTCTTGTAGTGAAATTTCATTTCTTTCCATTTGGTGCCTCATGCTCTTTTCATGTGGCTCATTTTTCTATATTGGTTAATCAAGAACAGTGATCTTTCAATTGAAATTGTCATCTTTTTGTGAAGATTGGCAAGCTATCATAAAGTCAAACTCTCTATTGTTGCCAATCTCTACATTCTTGATATCTGGAAATTGCTTGAAACTCTTGAAATCCATCTTGAATCTTTCTTGAGATTGCTTTATACTTGTTCTTGAAACTGAAATCCAGAAATGGATAATGATTATTGAAATCCTCATTATCTGGATACTTGTTTGAAATTAATTCTTGCACTGTTCTTGAAATCTATTTTGAGCTGACCTTGAAAAACCATTCTTGTTCTGACACTGGTTCTCGCTCAAATTTTGTATACTGTTCTTGCTCAAATCTTGCATATTCTGCTCGTTCTTGTTTCAGTATACCTGTTGATCTTCTTGATTCTTGGTTTTTGTTCATATGAACAACTCTTTAGGAGGGGTGACGATTATCAGAAAATACCTATATGAGGTATTCTAAATTCTTGTCTCTTATAAGTGTTAAGCTCTGTATCCTTGATGTCTTAGCTTTGACTTGACTCTAGGATGACTTGATTGTAAATCTGCTTAGCCTCGCCTCCATGAGCTACGAGGTAAAGGGGTAACCTTTGAAGTACTTGACACCCTAGAGTTTTGTTCCAAGTGAAATGGTTCTTTGATCTGGCTGCTTGGATTTTTGTTTGCCCTTTTAATTGGAAGACAGTAATCTTCTAAGCATCTTGATCCCAGCCATTGCTTTGTTCTGTTAATTAATTCTAGTACTTGAGGTACTAGATCTTGATCTCCTGATTATATCTGCTCTTGAATTCTTGTTCTTATTGTTATTATTGAAATCTCTTTTGTGGGCTTAATCCTTGAATTCTATTGCTTGTTTCATGGTTAACTCTTGTTTCATGGTTAACTCTTGTTTCTCAATTTTGATTGCTTGGTTAAATTTGATCTTGATTCTTGGTGAATGCCATTTTGTTGCTGAATTTTTGAGGCATTCTACCTTGCACTCTTATGTTTCAGTATTCTTCCAAGCATTCATATTTTCTATTGATTTTATTCTGTTGCCATTCTTGAGATTCTTATACATCTTTTGATGGGTCTAGCTTTTAACTCTTGTTAATTGCTAAAATCTGCCTCTTGATTCCAGTTGCTTTGTTAAACATGACCTTACTCATTGGTTGACCTTTTGTGGCAGAATTTATAAGGCATCCATGCACTTGTTCATTTATTCATGATCTATATATCCATTGGATGCTTATCCGTCTTTGATAGAGTTCAAATTTTTTTTGTACTCATCTGTAAATCCATGCCATTCTTTGCCAACTCGTCTTGTGATGGGTTCGAAGCGTAACCCCACAATTGTTCTTCTTTGGCTTTGGCAGGATTTATTTTTATTCCTTGTGCTTCCCCATATCACCCCAACCTCCAGTAGCTTGTTTCATGGTAAATCCGGATAAGTAGCTAGTGTCCTGCTTTTATGATTAGTTGTGATTTGATATCAGAGTGGCGCAGCGGAAGCGTAATAGGCCGTGTTCTGTTCCTAGAAAGTGATGAGGCATTTGTTTTGCCTCGGATTGGGTGAAGCCATTCACCAGTCTAGATGGTCCTCAATTTGAGTTTTGGGGACAAAACTCCTTTTTAGGAGGGGTGAGTGTAATATCCCAAATTTTCGGGAATATTTAAATGTAAGTTAAGGATTAAATTGTGAGAAAAATATTGTTTTGGGCTTAATAGCCGAAATATCCAAACTTGAGGGACTTAAAAGAGGAGAATTTGGATAAGGATGGCTTATTTCTTTTCTCCCTTTTTCCTCTTTCTTCTCCAGCCCGATTCTGCTCTTCTTCTTC